TAGATAGATAGATAGATAGATAGATAGATAGATAGATAGATAGATAGATAGATAGATTTGATAGATACTGTTGACTCGAAGACTGTGAGATTACGCAAGGTTTCTCAGCCCTAATCGTTGACTAGCCCACGTCTGACGCGCTCAGTAGCGGAGGGATGATTGGGAGCTGGAGCTCATCAAAGCCCGTGTGCAATCATTTAAGTCATAGCCCCTTTGGACGCAGTATCTGAAACCTTCAGTATGTTTTGGGAATGGGTGTTTTAAGTGGTGATAGATCACTCTTCTCTTGCACCACGAGAAATGATCCTGGTCCACCAAGCGGCTTGAACCGGNGTAAACCCTGCTCATTTCACTCACGTGGAGGATGCATTCCTTCACTAAATTGAGAAGACAAAAGGCCAGCGGCCGGGGCTATAACCAGGTATATTGACCACCTGTAGTTCACATAAGGGAGTTGGAAAAATCCCCGATTCCGAACCGAGAACATGTATGTGAATCACATCCACACCTTTCTGGTTCTGGAAGGGGTCACCAGCCTACTTAAGAATCAAGGTGTATAGAACACCGTAGTTGTTTAACCTTGAAAAAACGTATGATTCGATGAGCTGGTCACCGGTTTCCAAAGGATTAGGGTTTCACCACCGCCTCACCAATTTACGGTTTCGAGTCTGGATAACCAGACACTCCGATTGTGAATATCGAAGAAAAATTCTCCTGCTTTGACTTGAACAACTTGTCCTTCAGAAAATCATGGATTCATTACTTTGTTAGAAAGAATGGTGTACCGTGAATATTTTACAGTCCGAATTACTACTTTCAGATTACCCAAAAAGATATATTACCCAGTAGAATCGGTGGTCATTACAACCAACAATTCTTGGATCCAGTTTGCACGCTTTTCTGAGAGGTTTGGAATCAGGATTTTTCAGTTCCCCTAAATGAGTGGATCGCCCATAAGTTATCAACCCGCCTACAGCTTCGGCTATTTGCTTTTCACCTTATCATAGAGGTAAAAATACATCCAGCACTAGAATCTAGTTTTAAGGATTTCCCCTTGCTTTGATATTTGTGCTTCTTCAGAACAATTTTTGCTGCGAGAATGAAGCCCTGACCTTTCTCGGAGGAACTAAGCCTATAATGTTAGTAATAATAAATGTTATAGTTCCTTTTTATTGGAGATATAGTCGTACAGTCCGTTTGCAAGGAGAGAGATTCGATCAATCAAAGGCGGTCTGGAGATATGATGAATTCGGTTGAATACAGATAGTCACTGTACTTATTTAACGGTCAACGTAATTCGTATCTGCCGTGCAAACTACATAATCGTATATCAAACCCCCGACATTGTTCTTGTTTCTTGTGTACTTAAAAGAGCTTTGAAAGATATGAATTAAAATCACAGTGATATTATACATGTTTTAACTTTAATTTGACAGCTTTTGCTTTTCTTTCATGTAACAGAAGATGTAGGGGAGAGATACTGTCTTTAAACTCCGCTAAGCTTTTCTCGTCTGGATAAGAGTATGATTATTATGAAATGATCTAAATACCATTAAATAGCTTCCCCATACATGGCCGTGGTCAAGTTATAAATCGCTGTCATTGGGGTACATTGGGTTCCATGGTCCAAGATCCGAACCCCGTTACCACCACCCAGCTTTAGTGGCATGCTCACCGCCACGCCTAGACTAGTGGCACCTCATGTGGTTCGCTGCCCCCAAGTCCCGGGGCTCATGTTTCCGGTTACCATGGGATTTACCCCGTCTGTTGCTCATCACACAAGTGTATATATTAACTAAAAATATCTATATCACAGTTTTTTGACTATCAGTTTCCGAATTTTGTGTTTGATATCTTTGAAAGGTTGGGATCCCGCGCAGTTCATTTCCCTCCTATCGCGCTATTCTGGTGATCGGGGATGTGTTTCGACGAACCGAGGTCCGACATATGGTTGGCTTGTTACTCACTCGTCTGCGCTTCGGTCGGGTGTTTGTGCATCAGGTTGGTGTGTGCGCAACCTACTCGGTCGGATTGCCTACAGCATGCGTGATTGATTTGGGCGAGGAAAAAACCACAGTATGCTGTGTGGAAGACGGAGTCTCCAATCCGGACTCACGTGTCACAATTGCTGTCGGTCGAGCAAACGTTTTACATACCTTCCATTCCATGGTTTTTATACAACATCATGACCAGTGGTCGAGTTTCACTGCGGGTCATTCTGTTTCCCAAGTGTAAGTTGAGGAAATTCCGTCTGCATTTGTGTGTTTGTGATGTTAATATAAGCTCTCCTATCCGCATTCACTCCTCGGCGGGTTCAACGTTTTTTTTCTACCACGGTACAGCAATGATCATATTTTTTATGGCAATTCCGAAAATAGCCTTCGAATTGGTGGACGACCGGAAAACGTACAACCACATCCATTTTTGATGGGAAGCATCGAATCTGTTTCCCCAACCCAATACGGTGGATATCCTATTGGGGCCTTATGTGATTTGTCACTACAATTCGCAGATTGCGCGTTCTCTGTCTAATACGAGTGAGTTCACATCCGAAATATGTAATAAAAAAGAATATCACCTGTAATAGTCCATAATAAGTGCTTAACGCTAACCTGAATGGGCAAGCACCAGAACCACAATCATTCTACTTTTTAGTTGAGTACAGCACTATGTGTTTCCAGGTCCAGTGTAGGCGCTTTATGACTATGTTCGTTTGTTTTTCACGTTCGTCTGTAAATTCTTGCCTGTCGTTAAACTTAGTACGCAGAGCATGTACGATTGACGGCTGCTCACCAAACCTTCCATGAGCTTCGAACTACCTATTTATTCTTATCCCGTCACAATCGATAACTTTCTTTTTACCAAAAGACAACGCAATTTCTCATCACACCACGGGGTGTTTTTTTAATTAGAGATACAAATCCTGCATGGTTAGCACACATCAGATCTTAACTCCGTTGAACATTTGTGAGGTTATTGGGTTAGTAAAATCAGCGCAGGTGAAATGTTACCTGACCTAAAAAATTTTTGTTATCAAAGCAACAGATGAGATGTCCTTCACGTTCATTAACTGATTGATTGGGTGAGTGATTGCACTGCTAGTTTTGTTCATATTCAGCATACGCCTACTTTTGGCCTTTATTTTCGAAATCGCATTTGAATCGCATTGATGGTAACAGGTTAATGATTGGTGAAACAGTATCACGCACTTTGATGGGGTGAGTGTAAAGGTTCGTTGGCTTTATACGTTGTCGTGCGAACTAAAGTTGGAAATTTGAGTAGCCTCAAGACGACTATTTTATTACACGAAGTGGTTTACAGCAAAAGAGGTAAACCCCATAATCAACGATATATTGTAAAGAGGAGGCACGTAGGGGAACATTCAAGTAAGAACCAACTTGTTAATCCTGCTTTTGAAAGGGGTAAGGTTATAAGAGCTTGGAAACACGGAAATGGGAGGAGTATTCCACAATTTCGCAGTCCTCGGGAAGAAGAAGATTGAAAGATAGAAGTTCGACATCTGGAGACAGAAACCTGATAAGGGTGACTACTCGCCTGAGAACGAGATGGACGAGAAAAGATCAGTGGGAGGGGAACCACTGAAGCAAGATCGGAAGAGCAGAAGCCCAAATAGTAACGATATAAAAGAGATAACGAATCAACTGCCCGTTGATGTGAAAGCGACTGCGGGTTGGAACTTAAAGACTGTTCGTCGATCAGCCGAATGGCCTTACATTGAACACGGTCGAGGAGAGAAGTAGCGGAATACAAAGCCCCCACCCCATACGTGACTTCAGTATTCAAGCATCGGGCGGATTTGAGCTTTGTATAAAAGGATAAGTTGCTTGGGTGTAAAGCAACGCTTTGCGCG